CTGAATCAAATTATTGTAGTTAGTCCAACTCCTTCAATTAATTTGATCAAACAACATTTTAAATTTAAAACATATGTTTTGAATATTATAAAAGGAAAAAATATATTAACATATATAGTAATTTAAGTTCAATCAATTCGATTGAAAATTTTAATCATCAAAAACTAAATTAAACCAACTAAAATAAAAATACTTACAAAGGTTTTGCCACCTCGTCCTCCTAACTTTATCACACTTCTCTTCCTCTCTAGTTTTTAGTTAATTTCTTGAAAGAAAAATAATTATTAATTTTTAAGAAGAAAAGAGAGACAAAATTAGATTCAATCTTATAGTCTAGCATTTTATATTGTATCCACTTAAAATTCAAGTTAAAAGTATTATTGAAAAATAAGTGATAAGTTTGTTTTATTGAGTAATCAATTGTTGTTGTTATGGTGATAAATTTACTTACAATTCACTAAATATCCAAAAATCAAAATTTCGAAATAAAATGTAGGTTTTATCTTACTTTATTATATTTTTATTTTGTAGTATGTGATTACGATATTTGTAATATAAACGATATATTTTTTTGTTTATGTAATTGAATTGCTTGTTTTTTTTATAAATCAAATTTTTGAAATTCATACTTTACATAAATACATGAATTCACTTAGATCCAACTGTATCAATTGGTATAAGAAGAAGATTTATTAAAAATTTTGTTTCTTGTCCAATTGAACAAAAAATTCAAATTCATTTTAATTTAATGAATTTATTTTATTCAAAATGATTTTACTAACCCTCTAATGTTCATAACTCTTCTTTATTTATATAGAGTAAATAAATTAAGGGTTATTATCTTAGGCTCTTAGCATTAGAGTTTTTTTTTTTTGCAAATTAAAAATAATATACTAAATATTTGTGATACATGTGTCCACAATGTTTTTTAACTTTATAATCTAATAGTACTTATTTGTTTGCTATCAAATTAAATTTTTAGAGGTCAAATAACAATAAAACTAATTTATATATTTTACACAAGAAGATTTTAGAGTATCTTTTGTACACTCTAAACTTAAATTGATGGTATCCAAAAATATATTATTTTGATTTTCTTCATTATTCTTATACGACTTGGCTGATAGCCAAATAAATTGAAACAATCTTTCGCTTAAATTACTCTGATTTTACAACTCATCATATTTTTATATTTGATAATATAAATTATAAGCTTTTTAAAGAAAAAAATCTTAAAAAAAAAGCAAAGAAAAAAAATAAAGTAAAAGAACTACATTCTTTTCCTAATCTCATAATTATAACTCTAAATATTATACTCTATATTCCAACATAAGACTAGGATTAATGTATTTTGAAATATGATACTTGAAAAAGCTCTTCAATTATTCAAAAAAATTTAAATGAATTTTTATTCTGTAATTTTTATGACAAAAGAAAGGTCATAAAAAAAAACACTTATTCCAAAATATTTTAATAGTTCAATGATTTTTAATATACTATACCTTTTTTTTGTTCCACTTGGAATGTTTCATAAACTTCAAAACTAGTGAGATAAAAAACCATATATTTATATTCAAAAAACCATATATTTCTATTAAAAAAACCATATATTTTCGAAAAAAAAGAAAAGAGCAAAGAAAGCCCTATTTAAAATTAAATTACAAGAAACCCCTCAGGGTATACCGAAGATGTATTTTTCTTGTGCTCAAATCTTTTTAAAAATTACACATAAAGCATGCTATGCACAAACAAGATTCAAGGAAAATTCTGAAGGATAGATACAAGACATCTAGTCAATTATTTCTTCCTCTTCTTCCTCATTTCTCAAAATTCCTTCTCCAATATGAGCTTTCTCCTCCTTGGCATACAAGACCACTTGGTCAACTTGAGTGCCATGTTTAATTTCATCATCTTCATCGCCATTAACATCATTGTTGTCCTTGCTTTCGCTATCATCATCATCATCGTCACTGTCATCACCATCTTTGTTCTCACCATTAACAATACTTTGGATCATTGTCTTGTCGCAGACTTCTACTGTATTATCCCCAACAAGCAAGGGTTTCTCTTGAACTAACTCATCCTCACTTAAACCATCCCTAACAACCACCAGAGGATATTTCAAGGGCTTTTTGGGCCAATCCTTGAAGAAATAATTTATAACCATGAATCTGAAAACCTGCAACAAATGATTTTTATCTTTCTTTATATCAGCACTAAGAAGATTCTACAAAAGGGTTGGACTTCTTTTGTTGACGGAAGTGCCATCAAATGATCCTCATTAGTTGATCTTCTTTTCCTGGGAAAACGGTCTCTCTTACCAAATCTCCCTCTTTTATCATGCCTATTTTCAAATCTTCCCCTCTTTGTTAAAGGCCTACTATTCTCTTCTTTTCCATTCACCTTTTCCGCTGAACCTAACAGATAGTGTGAAGGAATTTCTGCAACTTCAACTCCTAATTCCGCTTGCTTTGCCAAAATTTCTTTGAGTTGCTGTAACAAAAGTTTTGATATATTAAAGAAAACAAGTTATCAAGAAAAAACCTTACTTATATAGATCAGTGACAATGAAGAATCACTCCCACCACCTTGTAGTAATTTTACTCTCTAATTGCCTATTTTTATAACAAGGTTATACACCAGAACCAAAAGTTTTAAAAAAAATTTCATGCTCATTTGAATTGTTAGACATGCTAGGTCCTATTAGGCAATACTGGTTGTCTAGCATCTTGGATGCCACTACCATAACTATTACATATTTCCTTAGGAAGAGACACTAGACCTGTTTATAGATGGAAACCATCAAATTGTTATTCATCAATGGCTCCGTTTTAACATGAGATAGGTCTCATGCTCAAGTCAATGCAATTCTTGCCAGTTCATAATAGATCAAGAAAAATATACCTCACTACGTAATTTGGCAACCTCAACGTCTGATACTTTCCCACTGAGTTTCTGCAGTCAACAAAGCTGATTATTATGAGACATATTTCAAACAAAAAAATGGAAGAGCATTCAGCAACTTAATCTAACCTTCTTTATGTTGGCTTTTGTCGGATAGTACTTTTTACGTTCTTCACGGCCACTGTCGTATTTCTTGCTCCGTGTAGGTCAAAGCAAGAGATCTTCTAATTTAAAATGAATTGTAGACACATCCAAACAGAGAATAATAGTCAGAAAGAAGGAAAATCTAGGAGAGAGAGAGATCTATGACAAAATACAATAGGATATCGATAAAATTGATCACAGCAACTGAATTTGATTTATGCTATGGGGTACAAAAATGACCAGACTTAAAGAACATTTACAAGGCAGCTGGTAAATCAATTGAAAACTATGCTTGGCTAAAATTCATCAAACCAAAATCTGAGGTCAATGAATTACATGAA